CTTGTTTCTAATTTAAATAGAAAAATAGAAAAACAAAGATGTGTGGGTTACATGGAGTTGTTGAAGGTAGTTAGACAAGGAACCTGCTCGGCCACAGCAGCTGTGCCTGTGAGCAGTAGCACTAAGTCCACACAGCCAGGGACCCCTGACAGTCAGCGATGAAAGAAGTGGCTCCCTGAGCTCTACCACTTATTGCTGATCTATGCACATTGAGGATAGAGACAAATGTTACTAGCTAGAGGTATTTGAAGCACGCACTTAATGAACTTGGCTTACTGAACTGTTGAGATGAATTAATGTCTAGGAACTGTTTCCAGAGATATCTGGTGTATGATAATGGTAGGTTTGAGTGGTTACTCAAAGATATCAGAGTTTAGGAACCATGAAGTGGACCTGTGGGGTGTCTGCATGGGTAAAAGCACTGGTCACACAAGCCTGATGATCTCCCTAAATTTGATCCATGGAACCCAAAGTGGAAGCAAAGTACTAACTAAGTCCCAAAGTTGTCCTCTCACCCCCACCTTCAACCCAAGGCATGCATTCATTTGAACTCACACACACTCATTAGACACAATAATAATAAAGTTAAAAGACTTTTTAAGTCTACAAAAGAAACAATGTAAGGAGACAGAAACTGGCTGTTTAAGACATAGGCTACATAACCTAGTGGTGAGAACAGGAGAAGATTGTGAAATGGGAGCAAACACTGGAGGTGTAAGTGAATGAAGGCTAAGAAAGAGAAGATTAAATGCTGGCTAGAAGTTAGGAAAGGAGAGAAGAAGCAGGGAGCTGAACTCTGCTATAGTCAATGAGGGTCGCACTCACCATTGAAAGATCAGTTCCTCTTTTTTCCCCAGCCCCTCCCCACCGCCCAGTGCTCCATTATCCTCTGCCACTTGATTTGAAGAACAATTTAAATTGATTTCATCAAAAACAAGTCATCAGGTTAGAAAATCTATAATCACATGAAAGTAGAGATCAGTGAGAAATTTGATAAAAGGGATAGCTGACGGTACAGACTATAGAAATCAAATAGTCTTGTCTCACTCCTTCCTGTATCTTCATCATCATTATCCCCAACACCATCGTGCTGTTTGGGGTCAATCTTGGGCCTTTGCACAGGTCAAGCAAAGCCCTTCCTTGAATTGTACTCCTAATTGCAAAGATGTTTCTAGAGTCTTCAGCATTCATTGTTAGAAAGTGATGCCTCACTGGCAATGTGCACACCTAGAATTTTAAAGGAAGTACTGTTGATGCAGAATCCAGCTTTCACCTTTAATGTAATAAAAGATAGTTTCTTCTGGAGCCTTTTTGAGTGACCATGGCTCCATGTTCCAATGTAGAAGCAGTTTCATGAAGTTTTGTAGTTTTGCAGAGCTGAGAAAGTTACAAATCCAGACAAATGTATCATACATTGGTATATCAGAGAGGTAGTTACAGCAAGATGGGGAAGCTTTTCTATAAGACATGAGTTGACATTCTTAGCTTTCAGATTGGTGGAAGTTAGTGGTCTGCTAAGTTAATAGATTTCAGTTTTTATTTATTAGTCACAGGGTGTTAATGTAGTAAAGTAATTGGCCTGAGTCTACAACATTCCTGCCTCTCCACCTTACTGTAGTTTCAGTTGGTATGAGTAGATCAGTCTTTGCTGATGAAACTTCTTCCCAGAATTACTCATCACAAAACCATGGGCAAAACTCATAGAAGAAAAATCTACCTTATCTCAGCTTCAAAAAAAAAAAAAAGCAAAAAAAAAAAGTCATTATCTTCACATACAACTGGTAGACTATAAATGAATTAGAGGGTGTATGATAATCTATATTAGAGTTCCTTAAAAGTAGGTCTCCTTTGATTCCATGACCTTATGCATAAAATGTCTTTATAAGTATGTTCTAAAGTATAGCCTTATAGTTTTTAAATTAAAAGCAAAACAGTGTCAGCCGGGCATTGGTGGCGCACACCTTTAATCCCAGCACTCGGGAGGCAGAGGCAGGCGGATCTCTGTGAGTTCTAGGACAGCCTGGTCTACAGAACGAGTGCCAGGAAAGCTACACAGAGAAACCCTGTCTCGAAAAACCAAAAAAACAAAAAACAAAAAACAAAAAACAAAAAAAAAAACAGTGTCAATAATTTAAAGGTTCTACAGTAGATTACCTACTTACTTAATTTATGCTGTATAGAAGTGATTGATAATTATATGTCTTTAAAATTTTTTCTAGGGATGTATCTATAAAATGCAAAACTTTATTGTTTATTAGAAAAGTTGAAATAGAAAGATGGTGTAAATTTGTGTGGTGATATAGAGCTAAAATTCCAGCACTGAAGAAAGTGACTCGAGGACTCAGAGTTTGAGGCCAGCCTGTGCTTCATAATAAGTATGATGTAACAACTGCTGCAAAAAAAATAAACAAACAAAAAAGCACAAAAAAACTCAAAACAAAAAAGAAAGTCTAAGTCTGTGGCTCCTGGTAGAGTATTTCTTGGGAATGCATAATATTTTAGACTTGATATCCCAGAACCAAGAAATCATCAGCAGTATGACCACTCCACTAACTTCCACTGTAAACGTTCTTTATGAATAAAAAGCTAGAAGAGCATAGAGTAAGAGTTTTATAGTGGGAATATGATTACTTTAAAGGCATTCCTAAAACACACTTAACTGTATAAACATAATTCAAAAGTAATTTTATTTTTTCAAATAGCAATGGAAGAAAAAATTCCAATCAACCTATTACAAAATCAGGAGTGGAGGAACTTCAGTCACCTCCTTTTACTTGTATTTTACCTAAGGACATTGGTTTTACTTTCTTGAAGATACATTTATCTTCTCAGGATTACCAACATGTGTTGCAGCATCTGACATGGTAGTTTGGTTCTTTCTTCTGTCAGCATCAGCTTTTATCATGCAATTTCCTCTTTTCTTTTTGGTCAAGAGGAGGGGCAAACAATCATGAGCTTGAATATCACTCAGAGGTGATTCAGTTCTGCCTTTTCTCGTGGAGCCTCTGAGAGAATACACACCAGGGAAAGGCAACCTGTCCCTCGGTTGATGATCAGTTTTCTCCACAAGAATCAGTTTCAGGTACAGACACAGGTAACAAGTCGTTTTATTATTTTTCTATCACATGATCAAATATACTATAGGGAATTTCGGATGGTGTGAAGTGAGAGCGTGATTGCTGGGAAGCCGTGTAGTTTCTGTTGGATCTGGTTGACTCTGGCACCATATTAAAACTGGAATGCAGCACAGGTTATTGCTTGCTTTTTCTGAGTGTTCTGTGACTTCTGCTGTGTGCTAAGAAAATAAGGTTGAGGATTCTATGGAGTTCATTAGTCTTGAGTGGGTTAAATATTTATATATCATCCATCTTGAAGAAGTCATGCTAGGAGTCAGGTAAGAAGGTTCAGTGTGTAAAATGCTCACTAAACAAGCCTTACTGCCCTTGTTTGATCCATGGGACTCACATAAAAGTGCAATGAGAGGACTGACTCGATAATGTTATCCTCAGGACACATGCACCACTGCTCAAGTACCCACATCCTCAAAGGTAAATATAAAAAATAACATTGTTGGAAAAGAATTCTGTAATGGAAAGTTTCCTTTTTCTCAAGAAAAAAAAGCAAACTGTAAGTAATTCCAGAAAACTTTATAAATTAAAAAAGTAGAGAATACTGTCACATGTGCAACTTGTTTGCCATATTATGTTATTATATATTAATAACTGTCTTCTCAGTTATTAATGTCAGGGGCAAGTTAAGTCATAAATGTTTAATGTTTAATAATACATTGATGTCTATTATTAGATTGGATCCTTTATGGGCTTTAATAATGACTGATGCATAGTGACCGAATTTGCCTTCAAATAGGTTCCTGTGGCAACATCATGTACTAGAATAATATATGTGAAATAATCATGTGCACAGAATGACTTGAGATTCAAACTTCAGTTTGTATCCTGTTGTTTCTGCTTCCTACACCCCATTCCTGCAATGCCCCTTTCTACTCTCCTGATTCCAGGTTACGTAGCATGTCTGAAGACTTTGAGACAGGATGCTCAGATATGAGAGAACATGGGGCATTTATATTTCTGGGTCTTGATAATCCCACAAAGTCGGATCTTTCCTAGGTCCATGAATTTATCAGGGCTGACCCTGGGAAAAATGTGTAAGATGTGACTGAGTAGAGGTTGGACATCTTAGGTGAGATATTTATGTACTTGGAGCCCAAAATGTTAATCAGCTGGAGTATTGACCTTCATATACCATTTCAGTAGTGGTGTTTGGGAATCGCTGAGAGTCATGCATAATTAAGAAGACTGCAAGGGCAGTCTTTTTTTATATCCATGTATTTATCAAAATGTGTAAATAAATTTAAAGCAAAGATTTTTTATATATTCAGAAAGTAAAGTAAATAAAGTAAAAAAAGAAAGCTTTGAATTTTTATTGTCTGAATTGACAGGTTAAAAGCATTTTAGTCGTTTGCGGTAGTACAAATTTTTCCAAACATTTTCATATATATGCTGCCAATATTACAATGACTTTTAGTAAGTTTTTAATTCTTTCCGTAATTCCTAATAGTAAGTTAGATGACTGAATGACAGAAATCTGCAAAGGGCCTCATCTCTAGTATAAATCAGTGTCAGCCCATGATATATATTTATTTGATTTTGTTTTGCTTTATTTTTCAAGACAGGGTTTCTCTGTAGCTTTGGAGCCTGTCTTGGAACTCACTCTGTAGACCAGGCTGGCCACGAACTCACAGAGATCCACCTGCCTCTGCATCCTGAGCAATGGGATTAAAGATGTGTGCCACCAATCCCAGGCAGTCCATGTGATTTAGGGTGTTTTGATCACCAGGGAGCTTAGTCAGACCGGACCATTCCCAGCCCACTGCAGCATCTGATTCAGATACCTTCCTAAAGGGGGACATTTTAACTTTTTTCTTTAGAAGTCACTCAACGTCAGACTTTAACACAGACCATACTTCACTTACTCACAAGATGAGTGATGAAGAGATCACTTACACAACTGTGAGATTCCATAAGTCTTCTTCAGGGTTGCAGAGCAGAAGAAGGCCTGATGAGACTCAAGGGCCCAGAGAATATGCACAGGGAGGTAAGTGTTTCAAGTGTCTAAATTCACCAATTTTTAATGCATCATAAATTTTTTATTTTGAAAACAATATCCTACAGGCCGCCATTGAAAGCAATAACCAGACTGGGTTTTTTATTCCTTGTTTTGAGACATAGTTTCCTCCTTCCAATAGCCTTGGCTGTCCCAAAACTCACTTTATAGATGAGACTGACCTGCAATTGCAAAGCGACCTGCCTGCCTCTGTCTCACATGTGCTTTGATTTAAATGCATATGCCCCACACCTGCCTGAAATGTATTTCATTTCATTCTATCTTTTTTTGTTTGGTTGGTTTTTGGTTTTTCCAACCAAGGTTTCTCTGTATAACCAGGGCTGTCCTGAAACATACTCTGTGGAACAGGCTGGCCTCAAATTCAGAGATCCACCTGCCTCTGCCTCCCCAGTACTGGTATTACAGTTGTGTGCCACCACCATTTAACAAAAATCCTATTTCTAGTTGTTAGCCTGTAACAAAAGAAAGTCAGATGGGCAAAGTGGAATGAAGGGAGCCTGTAAGAAAAAAATATTGAGAATGGAGAAAAAAGTGAATATATTCTGTGAAATTTGAGAAAAAATTAAGAGGATATTTTTAAGTCTCATAAGAATTCTGATACCTTTAGAAGTAACACACTAGAGCATGAAGAAATACTGAACATTCTAGAGCAATGAAATCTTACGGAAATGAAAAGTATGCTTTAGAAACAATACTTCCACTCTAGCAGAATGTGTTTTCACTGTCTTACCTATGTCCCAACATCTAATACAAAGAAGCAGGAAAAGTCATCTATCAGATGAGGGAGTCTTTTCCTGGGAAGAAGGCTGCAGAGGATACAAAGGGGATGAGAGAGGGTAGTTTGGTGGGGATGACTAAATCCCATTATGCCTTTGTAGCAATGTCAAAGAATTCTATTCTCTTTTTCTGCTCACTCTACATATAATGTCACAAATGAAGCCTAAGCTGATAACTTTAACTTCCTTGACATAGTGATAATCAGAGGCTTGACTTTCTATTTCCCAACACCTCGGATACACGAACAAGTTTTATATTATCTGGAGAAAAATAAAACTTAGGTTAAAATAAAAGGAAGAGTTGACTTCTAGGCTCCTTTAAGGATGGACCTGTATAAAAACCAGCTCTAGAGCCACCATGGTTCCCTACAGTTTTCAAGAACAGCTACCTCTCTTTCCTTCCTCCTCATCCTCAGTTATTCTCCCTTGGTGGACTGTACTCTCCAATTTGAGATTTTCTACTTGCACTGTATCTGTGGCCCCAGTGCTTCCTGAAGGATGCACTTGTGATCCTGCAGAACTGGGTGAGGGGTACATGCCCATCATCCAACTACTTCTAGGCTGGGTCAGAATGATTGAGTCTCCAAGGCCAAGGCTGAAAAATGTTTGAAATCCTGTGACATTTCACACATGTAATATTTCTAAAGTGTGTGCATACAATTCTGAAAGTACATATTCAGTCAGTTTGTATAATGGACTTCTATAAAATTTTAGAGGCCAATATCCCATTGTTTCCATGCTACACAAAATTATAATCAGAACTGGGACATGCTCTTTCCACAGTGATGGTTTTCTTGCTTTGTTTTGTTGATTTAAGAGTCTTCAGTCCCCTGGCTCCACACTGTGATACCTCTCGGAATCCTTTGTTTCATTCTGCTGGTGACAGTTGCAGTGTTGGGGACATTCAGTGAGTAACCAGTGAACATCGTTTTGCCTTTCTGCTTAAGTAATGACTAAACACTAATTATGCCATTATTACCCTCTGGAAATTGCCCTTTCTATAATCAGGGGATGTGCCACATAGCTCTGGACTTAGAATTTTGTTTAATTCTGGCACACCATATCATTCCTATAACTTACATACCTATCTCATTAACTTTGGGGCTGTTGAAATTCATGGTCAAGTTCATTCTGAGAACTTGGTGATAGTGTGTCTTCTGAGCTTAGGATATTATGAATCTTTTTATTATTATTATTGTTATTATTATTATTATTATTATTATTATCAAAACAATCTTATTTTAGGGAACCAGTATTTATCCCAAGGGCAGAACTGGCTTTTTGGAGCCCACTCCCTATGGAGGGAAGCCTTGCTCGCCCTAGATACAGGAGTCAGGGAGGGGGAGCTTGGTCCTGCCTCAAATGAGGTGACAGACTTTATTGATTCCCCATGGGAGAACTCACCCTCTCTAAGATTGTGAATCTTTTGTGGACATCCTGGGATAAACAGCTGTGCAAAAGAAATGATGGCCTTATTTTCATTTGTCCTCAGTGTATATTAAAGACTTGGTTGTGTGAAAGACTAGATGTGTACAGAGACATTAATGCTTCAGACTTACTGGATTTCTTTACATCTTTGGTGGAAATCACTCCCAGGCTGTGCTAAAACATAACTATATGTCTGGATATTATGCTTTCTATCTGGTAATTTGAGAATTGTGACATTTCTTCAGGTTTCTTAATTTACATTTTTAGTGTATGTCAAAGGTTGACTGAATTCTTTATTTAGATATTTATTTGTAAGATTTTTGGCTGAGAAAAAAGTTTAATGAATTGGAAGGTAATATGCTCCCATCATAATTTAATTCCACTTTATCATTTACTTAATACTGAAGTTGCTGATATGGAGAAATTAATGTTTCCATCTCTTTAATGAGTTAAATGAGATGTTATTTTCTAAATGTCAAAATGGCAATTGAACTAATGATATATGTTGTCAACATGAGGCATTTTCTTATATCTTAAATTTCAAATATTTAGTATCTATAAAAATTGTTGATGATATCTTTTGTAATTTCAGTTTTTCAGTGTAGACAAGAAAAACATGAACTACAGAAAAATCTAACCAACATCAATCAAACATACAGTGTCATGCAAAATAACAGAGGCTTAAATGAAATGTTGAGAAATAATACTACAGAGTGTGATGACTTCAAATATCAGGAAGAACAAATCTCAGGAAGAATAAATCTCAACAGAGAACAGAACAGATTCTGTAGGGAAACTAAGGTTGATATAGATTGCAAAGAGCACACAGGTATGGTGGGAATCTTGAATAAAGAATTGCATTATTCTGTATTGTTTCTTCTCCAGGAGATTTGAAGTCAAGTTAGCAGCTAACAATGCTGGTGATCTTGGGGTTTCCTTATTGAATGGAGGAGTCTGAAACCCTGGAAATCCCTGTTTACAGATTTAACTGTAAATCTTACAGTTTCTAGAACTCAGTGGCCATTCCATCTTCTACTGCTCCCAGGAGATGAATGCTTAAGTCAGAACAGCTGAGAATTCAGGATGGTTTAATCTGTTGGCACATCTGAGTCCCCACTTTTGTTTTTGAAAGAATGTGGAAGTTTCCAGTAAGAGAGTATTTACCAATTTCATAGGCTGAAGTGGACTTGGAGCATTTACATGGATGTGGACATAAAAGTGTGTGTGTGTGTGTGTGTGTGTGTGTGTGTGTGTGTTTTCCTCCTGTTTTGGTATCAGAGAGTTGTCCTGTTTGTGACCAAGGTGTCCCCCTGCAGAACACATGAGAGATTCACCATGGTGCCTACACTGGTGTGTCTCTATCAGTGACACAGAGAATGAAGCCAGAAAGTTGAAAATATCAGGCATTACAAGGAATCTATTTCCTTGCATCATGGCTGAATAACTTCAATTGGCACAGTTTATCATTCGTTATTAAGTATTTTTTCAGAATTTAGAGTTCATAAAGAACTCTTGCATATGATCTCACTGTGTTTGATAGCAGAGGTTGACAATCTTCATTACTCAAGTAGTAATAATAGCTTTAAAACTGATATATATCAAAATAAGGGACAGAGAAAAGATAAAGAGCAAAAATGGTGATTGAGGCATTATAGGCTCATTAAAATGTTTCGTATTATTATTTTAGAATAAAATAACTATTATCTCGAGGTGGTAGCATGATTCTGCAATGCTTATGATTAGAACACCAAGGTAGGAGGATTGCAAATTTGAGGACAGTCTAGATGTCCAGCAAATTCCAAGAGAAGCCTACCTACAGAGTGATGATACCTCTTTACAGAAAAGCAAGGGAAGGACATAAAGTTTTATTAATAGAGAAAGGGGACCCTCAGCACCAGAGCATACAAATAAATCACAATGAGATGTAGCTATATAAACTACACATGTTTTAATGTATTCAAATTTGCCACTGTGAGCATGTGAGTTTGTTGAAGCAGGAGAACAGGGAATCACCATCATAAGTTTCCTTGTGTGTTTCTTATTTCTCTTAACATAAGAGCATCTACCATGGACCACAGCATGGCTGTAAGTGCACAGTACTGTGTGGGCCACTGTGGGCACAGTGCTTTACTGCAGGTCTCCATTGCATCCTACATCCCCCTCTGAGAAGCAAGTACTTATGTCCCCTCCCTCTGGCCCTGAGATCTTACAAACTCCTGCTTCTTATAGCTGGGCTGTTAGAAACCTCATCGGAGTGGAATAAAAAGTATGGTCCTGGCCCTTGTTTGTTTCACTTCTCATTCTATCTTCAAATTCATCCCTGTTTATCTGATAGATTTTCCTGTAGACATTTGAGAAAGGGAACTGTTGCAAAAATTCTTCGGCCTCATTAGTAATAAATCTACTCATAGCAGATGATGTGTTTTGAAATTAAATGGAGAGCACTCAGGAGTCACCTGGAAGACTCACACTGCACAGTTGGTCTCATAGGTCATGATTGCCCTTTTCCAGGGTTAGCTGTGAAAAATGATTCCATCTTATAACCAAGGCTAACTTGGAATGAACTGTATAGCCAAGGCTAGCCTGTAATTCACTGATTAGCCAAGGATGTGAACCTCTTGCCACAGCCTATGTAGTGCTGATATTATAGGCTATATATATATATATATATATATATATATATATATATATTACATTTTCTCTATTGATTCATCCACAATGAACACTTAACCTTTATCCATATCTCTATTATAAACAGTGCTGCATAGAGCATGGCTGTGCAGGGGTCTTTCAGCATTTTAGAATCAAAATTTCTGAGACCTGTGAGATTTTTCTTAGTTATAGATGCATAATAAATACATCTTTGTAATAACAGAATGCCAGAAAATAATACTTTTAACCATTCCCGTTCTCTGTTTTAGGCAAGCGTGTTGAAGCACAGTGGTTCTGCTGTGGCATAAAATGTTATTATTTCATCATGGACAATAAACACTGGAATGGGTGTAAACAGACCTGTGAGGATTGCAGCTTATCCCTTTTGAAGATACATGACTATGATGAACTGGTATTGTAGACTGTTAACATGCCCATTTATTCTCTTAGACTCTGTAGCTAACTCTTGAATAGTGAGACACTAGAACTGGTATTGTAGACTCTTAACATTCCCATTTGTTCTCTGAGACTCTGTAGCTAACTCTTGAATAGTGAGTTACTAAATCCTGACAGGTGTTTTGAATGAATGACCTTCGGGGGTTGAATATGGTTTGCCTGCAGTAAGAGCAAACACTGTGTTAAGAGTCTTTCAGGATACTCCCTTCTGCTCCTGGCTTACTGTCAGGACAAGGTCTGTTTTAAGGAGACTAGTTACTAAAGAGACAGTTGTGAATTTGCAATCTCCTCCCCTTCTCAGGAGTCTGCAAGAAAATCCTTCAGAGATGCATATTTTCCCTGAGGAATTTTAACCCTTTAGTATAGTGTATCCTGTGACTGACAGTTATGTATATCCACAGAGGGCAACTACACCCAGAGAGTCCACGGTCTAGGGTGTGCTCTTCAGAACCCAGAAGTAAGACTACCTGAGATGAGTAATTGGATGACAATAGGGGAAGTAACTGACCTCTGGGCCAAATTACAAAATGGAAATTACCTGAGAACTGTGAAATTAAATGGTTTTTCTGGTTAGACCCACATTGACTTTCACTGAGTCTGTCCATAATATTTACATCATAATTTTCTTATGTTTCATAAAAAGATACCTCTCTTTAAAAATGTGTATATGAGGGAAAATAAGTGGCCATGATCCTGACATTAGATGTTTACACTTGTCACTAAGGAAATTTCTTCAAATAAAGAGAGGTTGAATGGTCAGCTTGAAGACTGTGTCATTTAGAATATGCAGCACAATTTCTCCACCAATTTAATACATGTCTGAATAATTACAGCATAAAATAAATTCCAATGTCAAATAGTGATACAATTTTCCATGTGATACATTAAACATTGATAAATTTAAACTTCTGTCCTAAAATGTAATCAATAATTTTATTAGTCATTGTTCTACTCATATGTCACATGTAAGTGACTCTAACTTCTTGCAAATATCTCCCTCTTCCTAACGTTCTGTCATTTTGGGATCTGAATGTATAGCATGGCTTCCTCTCTGGAACATGGAGTTTAATGCACAGCTTTTCACACAGCACTTTTCATCTTAATGAATCTGATTCGAAGACAGCGTCTCCCAAGATGAACAATCCCCACATGCTTCTGTAGTCTTCTGAAATATGCATCTGAATAATTTCATAAAGTATCAGACTTACTTAAGGAGCTGGTATACAATGTTCACTTAGAGCTCTGAAGCAGGGAGATTGTGAGTTCAAGGCCAGCCTTTGCTACACTGTAAGACTTTCTATGAGAAACACAGATATAAATCATTTCAGAAATCAAGTATCTCTAGACACCTGAAGTTTTCATTTTAAATCACTTGTGTAACTGGCATCAGTTTTGACATGAATGAGCTACTAGTGGAAAATCACTTTAAAATGAACTTGGAGGGACTGAAGGGCTTGAGAACAGGACAGCAAAGATATGATATAAGAATAGCTGGGACCTGCTGTGCTTGTTCTTTTCTCACCAAACAGAAAATTTATCATAAGATGTTTCATTTTCCTTGCAGAAATTTCTAAAGCCCCGACTTACTACAAACAGTTACTGGATTGGATTGTCATATAATAAAAGCAAAAGGAAATGGCAATGGGTTGGTGGTGGCCCATCTAAACTGTGAGTTTCCTGAAACCTCACACTTTAACACTGGGGTGCAAGTTGGAATGATTGTTTGTAAAGGCCTTTCTCTCATTTCCGTATTTTCCTTATTTTCAATGAAGCTCACAGGGAAGGACAAGATGCACAAGTCAGGGTCTGAGCAAGTGTTTGGTAGGGAAGAGCAATGATCTGATCAAGAAGCTGGCTGCTAGTGATGCAAAAGAGAACATAGCTCAATACTATGTGTTGTAAGATACACGGGGCATAAAAAGCTTAAAATCTTGTGAAACGATCATTGTGAAAGTTAAACTTAGAGTATCTGAAGCATTCACTTGACTTGTTTCTGTAGTTAGTTTATATAATTTTTAATTTATAAATATAAAAACATATTTACATATATGCATACCTACTTTTAATTTCAAGGTGCTATAGTCTATAAGCTCTAAACTTGTTGATTTCCGACCTGGTAGAAAACTGTTCATGTATTTCCTTATTAATAATAATTATTTGCTTCAGTTCATTTTATAAGTTAAATTTTTAAAAAAAAAAACCTTATTTTACATACCAATCCCAGTTCCCTCTCCCTCCCCAATCTCCCCATCCCTCCCGCCATCCCCCCATGCACTCTTCAGAGAGGATGAGGCCTCCCATGGGTGAATCTCACACACACACACACACACACACACACACACACACTCACCAAAGAGGAAAATGTAGTGGCATCTAAAAGGGTGGCCACTTCTACAAATTCACTGGCAAGGCAAGATGCCACTACAGGGAAAAAATTCAAACCACCGAAGGAGCAAGGAATCTGCTTTGGGTGGTCAACTACAAGCTTACTAACTAGTGAGTGGGTATCCATACAGCCTTTAATACATCCTTTGTTTTGGTCAATTCACCTTTGACACTCTCCTGTTCTTTATCCCCAGTACTATGACCATTTGATCTTTGAATCCTCAGAATTCCTTCCTCTATCTTCATACCACATGTTATCATTCCTCCTGCTTATTGATGTTTTTACAAATAGTAATATTGAAATTTCTCTCATAAGAAATCTGTTTGTCCTCAAATAACAATGGTAAATACATATGTGTGTATGTATATGTATTTATTTAAAAACAAAATGTTTATTATCCAACTCTTACAATCTGACCATTCAAAATAATAAGAAAAGGAAAATACGCTTTGCTTTTAGGAGATTGCCTTTTTTCTATTTTTCAACTTTATTGCTAGGTGGTGGTGACTTAAACCTTTAATCCCAACACTTGGTGGTAGAAGCAGGCAAATCTCTGTGAGTTCAAGACTAACCTTGTTCACATAGTGACTTCTAGGACAGCCAGAGCTGTTAAACAGAGAAACCTGTCTCAATAAACCCAAAATAAATAAATAAATGAAATGATTTTAGTTAATTAATTCTTTATAGCCCAATCACAGGCTAACCTCCCTCCCTCTTCCCTTCTAAAATTCATTCCCAACCTCCCTTTTGTTCCACCATTTAATCCACTCCTCCTCCTTTCTTTTAAGAAACTGGAAGACCTCCTATGTATATCAACCAACCATGGTATATCAGATTACAGTAAGAATAGGCACCTCATCTCCTTCAATACTGGCCACATAGTATGAGGAAAGGGTCCCTCTTTTTGTAAACTGTAAAAATGTGTCACTGTTACTGATTTAATAAAATACTGAATGGCCAATAGCTAGGGAGGATTCCCAGGCACAGAGGACACTGGGAAGAAGAGGGAGACAGGAGAAGATGCTAGCAGAGACAGAACAGACATGCGGGGGGGCGGGGGTGTAAAACCATGAGTCATGTGGCAACATGTAGATGAATAAAAATTAGTTAATTTAAGTTATAATAGCTAGTTAGAAATGACCCTATGTATCAGTTACACTTTCCTTTTTTTCTTTTTTATTTAAATTAAAAACAATCTTATTTTACATTCCAATCCCAGTTCCCTCTTACTACAGTCCTCCCATACACCCACCAATCCCACATCCCACCCACCATCTATTCCCCAAGGAGGGTGAGGCCACCCATGGGGGATCATCAATCTGTCACATCATTTGGGGCAAGACCTAGGTGCTCCCTCATGTGTCTAGACTGAGAGTATCCCTCCCCAGGGAATGGGCTCCCAAATGGATGGTAAGTCTCCATGTCATTTGGGGGAAGCTGATGGCCCAAAAGAAAAGTCCATCTATAGGTCCCAAAAGCAGGTAACAGAGTCAGAGAGAGCTCCTGCTCTCACTGTCCAGATACCCACAAGAACACCAAGCTACACAACTGTCGCATATATGCAGAGGGCCTAAGTCATTCCCATCAGACTCCCTGATTTAAGTTCAGTCTCTGTGATTCGCTATGAGCTCAGGTTGGTTGATTCTATGGTTTTCTTGTTGTGAACTTGGCCCCTCTGTCTTTCACAATCATCCTTCCCCTCTTGTACAGGATTCCCCAAGGTCTGCCTATGGTTTGGCTCTGTGTCTCTTCATGTTTCCATTCATTACTGGGACAAGTTTCTCTGGTGGCAATTAGGCTAGGCAACAATCTATGAGTATATCAGAATATCATTAGGAATCAGTTCGTTGACTTTATTGCCAGTCATGTTTGGCTCTGTTCTAGGTCTCTGGGCTGTCCAACCTCAGGTTCCTGCCCTTCCAGGCAATGTCAGGGGTGACCTCTCTCTCATTGTATGGGTCTCAAGCTGGACCAGTCATTGGTTGTCCATTCCCATAATTTCTGTACCACTGTTGCCCCAGTATCTCTTGTAGGCAAGGAAAATTGTATATCAAAGTTTATGTGGCTGGGTTGGGGGTCCCAATCCCTCCACTGGTGTCTTGCCTAGTTACAGGAGAAGGCCCTTGCAGATTCTATCTCCCATTGCTAGGATTGTTAACTAGGGTCACCCTCATAGATTCCTGGGACTTTCTAGTTCATCCTAAAGATGACCTACATTCCAGTTTTCTTTACCACTACTCCCTTCCTCTGTCTACCACCCCACCTGAACCCTCTTGCTCCCATGCCTACCCACCCCAAACCTGACCCCTCCCCCTCCACTGGCAATGTCTATTCTATTTCCCCTTCACAGTGAGATTCAAGTGTTCCCCACCTCCTGAGCCCTCCTTGTTATTTAGATTCACTGGACCTGTGGAATATAACATGGTTATCCCTTAGTTTATGGCTAATATTGAACTATAAGTGAGTCTTTCTGGGTCTGCATTAGCTCACTGAGAATGATCTTTTCTAGTTGTATCCATTTGGTGGCAAGTTTCATCGTGTCATTGTATTAACAGCTCCATAATACTCCATTGTGTGCATTTATCACGTTTTATTTATCCATTCTTCTTCTGATGGATATTTAGGCTGTTGCCAGGTTCTTGCTATTATAAATAATGCCACTGTGAACATAGTCGAGCTAATGTCCTAGTGTTAGGACCTTTGGGTATATGCTCAAGAATGATGTAGCTGGCTCTTTAGGTAGGTTGATTATCAGTTTTTTGAGGAAAAAAGCATGTTGATTTCCAAAGGTGATGTACAAGTTTTCACTCCAACCAGCAATGGAGGAGTTAATTATATTTTTTAATTGCTTTTTATACCATTTAAAATCATTTTAATTTTTATGGGTTTTGTTGTTTTTACAAAGAGTTTCATGCGTTCCATGCTGGCCTTGGACTCCTGATCCTTCTGTCTCCACCTCTCAGGTGCTGGGACTACAGGCATGTGTGTCTCTGACTGCCTGGTTCTTTTTCTCTGGCAAGATGTAAACCATTTGTATTTCATATGTATCAGTTGATAATCCTAGTGTCTGGAGTTCTATGGTTTAATGTACTGTTTCTGCTTATTGTTGCTCATGATGTCATTTTCTTTATGATATGTACTGAGTTTCTTCTTTAACAGCTGAAGAAACTGTCTGAAGCAAGTGTATCCACAGTGGTAAATGTCTCAGGAATCTTTCATTGAGTGCCTGGAAACATGGCCTATGTGCTCACTTCTATTTAAATGCCATCCTGCCAGTGTAGACAGCCAGATTGCAAATCTGCAGGAAAATAATTCCCTCTCTCTCCTCCAAGGACACTGTCAAACAGGTTGTCACAGAGGTGGTCAGGGGACAGATGGCCTTGCAAGATTTTTCTTTTTGTGGGAGTGGGGAGGGGGTTTCAAGACAGGGTTTCTCTGTGTAACAGCTCTAGGTGTCCTGGAACTAGCTCTGCAGAGCAGGTTGGCCTCAAGTTCAGAGATATCTACCTACCTTTGTCTCCTGAGTTCTGGCATTAAAGGTGTGTGCCGCCACAACCAGGCTAAGAAGTTTTAATATAGTCAAACCACATAGGTTATTATTGTTATTAGGTTTGGCTTTTCTATCTGAAGTATCATTTCATACAGGCTAGCCCAGCTTCTCCTGCATCTACCTTCCAAACACCAGGATTGATGATGATTTCTACCAAGACTGGCAACAGGATGAATGAATTTGTTCATAGCACCATACAGAGTCAGACATGGGCAGGGGGGAACATTGGGAGTTAGGAGCCAGTGGCCTGCATCCAGGTTAAATGATCTTTGTAGACCTTGGCTATATTGCAAAACTGTCCCCTGATGATGGTATGTTCACTAGGGCCAGACCTTTTGTTTCAGTATAAAAGCCTGATGATGAGATTTTTTTCACCACCACAAGCATTTTCTCCAGTGGGAAGATTCATGAGCTTAGACACCTGTTACAAATGTCAGCTTATAGACCTAGTGAACAGCTGTGAGATTAACGTGTGTTTCTTGTGTAGAGGTCCAGGTGGGCATCACTATGGAGGTAAAATTAAGAGCTCATGATGCAGAGTATGAGCTCCAGGTGTATCCTGTGATAGTTAATGTCTGATGAGTCTTCTCTTCTTGCCCGTGTTCAACATACATGCTTTATTGATTGATCATGCTCATAATCATGCCTCATGGCTGTCTAAGATGTATACTCATTCCTGCTGTATCTTATTGATTGATCATGCTCATAATCATGCCTCATGGCTGTCTAAGATGTA